AAAAAAAAAAAAAAAAAAAAAAAAAAAAAACAATAAAAAAATAAGAAATTATTTGAACAGTATACTTAAAAAAAAAAAAAAGAAAAAGAAATCCAAATGGCCAAAAATATATAAAAAGAGCCTCAACCTCACTGACAATCATGAACATGACATGAAACCACATACAGAAGTCAGTGTCTGCCCACCAGGGATTCTAAACGTTCAAACCCAGGACCTGGACCCGGGACCCAGACTGGCCACTGCTGGTACACCTGGTGCACCCGCTCTGGGGAACAGTCGGGCATCACCCAGTATAGCTGGAGATGTGCACACCCCATGGCCCCGTGAGTCCCCTGCAGGCATGTTCACACTGGGGACTCTCACGGCCAAACACAGCAGGACACGCTGCAGGAGACACGCTGTGTAGACAACGCTCAGCAGCAGAGCTCATGACTGCAACACAACAGAAACGAGCCAAGTGTGCACTTGCAATCAAATGTACAAACGCGCCACGCTAGGTCACACGGTGGAGCGTGATGCCACGAAGAACGGATGGAGAGCTAGAGGCAGGAATACCAAGCAGTCTCCCCAACATAATGTTGACCAAAGAAGCCAAGTTCAAAACAAAGGAACAATCGCAACACCATAAATTCCATATACAAATCCACTGATAGACAGAACATCAAGTTCAGAGACCTGCAAGGCCGAAATTCTTTGTTTAGGGACACACACATGGATGGGGAAACCACCAAGAAAACAGAAAGGTAATTCTCAGGGAAGTCAGGCCAGCGGTCGCCTCTGGGACAGCGGAGGCGTGTGCTCGGGAAGAGCCCAGGGAGGGGGCTGACTGCTGGCAGCAGCTCCCTTCTGGGCAGTGGCATGTGCATCGTTGGCTTCACACATTCACGTGCGTGCAATACTCAGGACATACACTCTATTTCACAGTGAGAAGAGTAAAGATGGGATGGGTGATTACACAGGTAAATATGTGACATAAACGATCCGTCTTCACAAGGTGTTTGATGATCATGAATAATGTATGTAACGTATCTAGAAAGACACACTCATCCCCATCGGCGGGTTCGACACAGAAACTCTGGGCGCGCTTCGTCATTCAAAGGGAAGAGTGGTGTTTGAGAATCTGCATGTTTTCCTTTGGGGCAACAGGAGACCAGGGCAGGAGGCGAGCCAGAACGCCCCGGCGATGAGCACCGTGATGCGTGCGTCTCTAGCACACGCCTTACAGCCACCTGGGGAGACACAGGGACTGTCTTCTTACAGATGGGGACGCAGAGGCCCTGGGAGGTGAAGCCGTTTGCTCCCCGGCAAACACCAGGCTGTGAGCTAAGGTCTGTCTGACCCCGAAGCCCAGGCGCCCGTCGCCCTCCTCACTGCTGGTGCCCTGCCCGCTGCAGGCCCGCCGCAAACAAACACCCTCCAGGGCGATCGCTCTGCTGGCGAGACTGGATGGATCGTTCCTGCAACCCTTCCTCTTATATTTTCAGTGTGGCAAAGGACTCTGGCTCCAATCACGGGATCCACGAGATGGTACTGCTTTCAGGGTAGGATTTGCAGCACAGAAAGTTCTGGTGGCACAAACCACTCACCCCATTTTCTCCTGGCCTCCCAGGAGTCCAGCCTCGGGGCCTGGCTCCGTACAGCCTCCCGTGTGGACAGCGCACGGACCTGCCTGCTGGCTGCCACGTCCAGAACTCAGAACTACGGGTTAGGCCGGCTGAGGACCCAGCGTGCCTGCGTGTCCACAGACTCCCCCAAGAACACGCCAGAGAACAACTGCCCACACTCCCTCTGACGGGAATCTCTACGGAGAGATTTCTCGAACATAATACAATAATGAAGCAAGGCTTTCTGCACCCGACAGAAGAAAACAATACACTTACAGATATTAAATCTGCTCTTTGTTACAAGAACAAGTCCTGACGGGCCGTGCGGAGCCTCCCTGTCATACAGGGCCTGGCTCACAAGCAGGGGGTCGGCAGCGTGGGGCGAATGTTAAAACTTCTCTGCCCCCGGGGCCGAGCATCTCACTGCTAGAGCAAGTGCACGCGTTACACCCCTTCTTAGCTTCATCGGCCCTCGCTGCTCTGAGAGGAGAGCACCGTGGTGAACTGAGGGCGAGAGAAGATGCAAGCCGGGCCAGCCCAGTAACGGAAGAGATGTCAAACCCCAGGCCTTTGCGGCTACAAGCCTTCACAGGAGCTCAGGGTCCCACCTCCACGTCGCTGTCTTCCATGATGCATCTATTACACCGAAGTTCTATAGAATTTATGATTTGCTCGTTGGTTCACTCAACAGATATTTATTAAGTGCTGCCTACGTGCTGAGAATAGAACATACTAAAACACGGTGTCTCGTGGGCCTTGCCTTCCAGCATCACCAACAGGTCACATGTGACCTCCCAGACCAGGCGTCACAGAGGAAGCAAAGCAGGTGAGCCCAGGCAGGGGGAGGTGAGGGGCGCACATGGCCTCCCGGGAGAAGAGCGCTGGGAGGAGCGGGTGTGGAGCCGGGTGAGGCGATGGGGTGCAGGGCCAGGTGTGCAGCAGAGGGAGACAGGGGAGCCTGTAGGGGCGTGGCGGGCAGGGAGCCACACAGAGCCGCCTGGAAGACCTGAGCTCTTCCTCTGCACGTGCTCAGAGGCTGCAGGAGAGGCAGGGACTGGCCAGGGGGCAACGTGCCATTTTTTCTACCTTTGGATTTTCCGATAACCAATTATTTACCAAGTTGTTTCACAAAATTGAAGTGCTGGGGGGCACGATTGGGATAGAAAAACAGAAGAGGGGGTTCTATAGTCAAATAAGTTTTTTTTTTTTTTTTTGAGTCATTTGTTTATTTTGAGAGAGAGAAAGAGAGAGAGAACAGGGGAAGGGCACAGAGAGAGGGAGAGAGAATCCCAAGCAGGCTCTGCCCTATCAGCACAGAGCCCAATGTGGGGCTCGAACTCATGAACCGTGGGATCATGACCAGAGCCAAAACCAAGAGTCAGACACTTAACCAACTGACCGCCCCAGGCGCCCCGGTCAAGGAAGTTTAAGAACCGCCGCATGCCGTACCCCATCCAGACGACCCCGACGGCATCCCAAGGAAGTAGCGTTCCAAGGAGCACACTCTGGAAAACCGCATTCATGCCATCCTTCAGCCTCCACTCCCCAGTGGCAACTGGCATCACCTCCCAGGCTGGACGTGAGGTCCCCAAGTCCAGGTGCCATGGCATTCGTCCCTCCATCTCTCTTCAGTTTTGACCACTGCAACCTGGGTGGTCAAATCCTGGGTACTCCAGCCTCGCCGAACAAAACATGCAAAATCAGAAAACTCTCACCAGACAGCTGCTGGCTTCAGCTCCGCACCCAGCGGTAAACGTGCCCATGAGAAACTTCTCTACTCACAGAAACTTCATCGCCTGGAATATCTATAAACTGTCAAGTTCCGTTACCCACACAGGGTCATCCAGCAAAGCTAGTGGCCCTTCTAGAATGTTCTGGATGATGATGCGGGCTGGGAGACTGAAATGTTTCACAGATAATGCAAAGAAGTGCCCACAGCCTGCTCTGGGGGTGGGGGGGTCGTTTCAGTCGTAGCACCTGTGCGGGAGGGAGAGTCCTGTGATCTGTGTCTGTCCCTTCTCCCCAGGACCCAGGAGACTGAGCGCACGAGGCTGGGACTTTGCTCTAGGCTCAGCCACGACAGGGACAAAACCGAGGCTGGCCTGAAGGAGCCAGAGAGAAGAAAGCCAGGTCTTTGTGTCAGGTAAGACGCATAAAGCCATCTCTGTTATAAAAGGAGGCCAGAGATAAATTAAACAATTTAAAAGAATAAATGTTTTTAAACCGTGGGGTAGCACAAGTTCAAGAACGGTTTGCATGGAGGCAATTATCTCATCACAATAAATAACAGTAAATCAATCCACGCTAATTGCTTTTCCTGCCAGAGCTAAGGAGACTCTTCAGCGTTCTCGGATTATCGATTTTTTTTGTAATCGCTTGTGCTGTCAAAAATGTAATATTTCCAAAGAATATACCGCTCATTGCTAGACAGACAGAATTTTAATTTAACGAAGACAATCCAATTTCCATTTTTTTCCCCAGAAGTACTTAAGACATCTAAAACGCAAGGAAGCTGAAGACGGCATTACAGGTTTTTAGCAGAGACATTTCAGCTCAAACAATTTAACAAATGGCTGACCATCCCCCTCCTCGTCTTGGCCTTCCCCCTCCTCACACACCTACACACACACACACACACACACACACACACGCGCGCGCGCGCTTAAAGGAAAAAAAGAGTGTAATCCCAGATTCTTCACTTTCGTGCAAATGAAGAACTAAAAAGCAAAACAAATACCACAACAGAAACCCTACACTTCCTTTCTTACCCTCGTGGCCCCGCAGTTCGGCAATTTCCACTGAACTTGGGAAATGTTCTGCCTCCTAAGTTTAACTCCATCAGCATTTTGCTTAAAGATTTTGCTTCAGTTCTGATAGCTACACACATAGCTGCAGGCTTATATAATCAAAGCAGTGAGGGCAGAAAAAGAACAAGGGGGCAACAGTGTCCCTCTGCTTGGGATGACAATGAGAAAGGTGTAGAGTCCTGGACAGACAGCAGCTTTGTCTACAGAGGCAGCTCCACTACTTACTAAATCACTCTTGAGTGTTACTTAGCTGGACTCAGGCTTCAGTTTCCACATCTGTGAAATGGGAATAACATTCCTACATTATAGGGGTTTTGAGGGCAAAATGAAGTAACATACATAAAATACCGCTGTAATGCCCAGCACGTGACTTGACTATTATAAAAGAAACCAGTCCACCTGCCTTCTTTATTCTCGGACTAGATACTTAACTAAACATGCAACCTTCTGCTGGAACTTTCCATGGAAAGATGAAATCATCTCCCGGGTAACAGGAGAAGTTATAGTAGAAGGAAAGCCACGAAGCCATAAGCAATGCCAGATGAGTCAGCATTCTGAGGGACACTGAGAATTTCTGGCTGAGGATTGATTTGAACTGTTTATAAATGTGTGGTTCTGAACATTCTGCCTGTTTGAGATCATTTCCGTACTTTTACTCCCTTGCTCACAAAGCTGCGACTGGAAAGTGGGAGTAAATTGCTGACATGGCCACATCCTGGCTGACCTCATCCGCACACCACCTTTGCTCAAGTTAGCATCTGAGCCCCTTACAGATTCTGTGAGCTCAGCTGTCTGGTGTCTTGTTTGGCTTCACTTGGACACGCTATGAACATCTCTGGGACCCATTCCATTGCTGGGAACGCAACAAGGAATTACACTGACTCCCTCTGACTTGTGGATATCTGAGAACTTTCCGGTTGCTATACGCTTTGAAAGCGATAGGTTTGATATGACAGGGCGATACTATATGAAGCCAATTAGATCATGGCTTTTACACAATGATAGACTTGGAATAATTAGCTGCTCTCTGGATTTGCACAGCAGCCAGTACATAACTCTCCTGTGGCAGTGAATACACAGGCTGCTGCCTGTTATGCACGTATGGGCTCCGTGGACTCGGAAGCCTGGCAGACAGAGGCCTGGCCTCATCCAACACCCCCGCCCTTGCCATAGTGCCTGGCACACAGTGGGTGCACAGAAAAGGAGGTTAAAGGAATGAGTAAACACTTCAGGTTTTGCATCAAAAATTCAGATGCAACTTAGTCCTTTTTGTACTTCTCCGTCTCTTAACACTCTCTATGTTTAACTGTGGCATGATGTACCCCACATGGAATGCCGAGGAAAAGGTCACCAGTGATGATAAACTCAGCTCTTGAAATCCTCCTTATTCCTCACTAGTTTTGTGAAAACACCTTAGTCACGCAAGTTTAAATTTGACAACCGACCAGCCCTTCCTCAGGCTTTATAACACAAATTGTTTAGGATTCAGTTGGCTTTAGATTTATATCAAGTATCAATTAAGTTGAATAGTGTCTTTTCAAGATGATGATCTGGCGGGTTCCTGCTTAAAAGAACACACTCATATGCACCCAGAAGGCCAATGGCCGCAGGAGAGACGGCCGGCCCTCACCTTCAGAAAGCAGGGCAGAGGAATGACCACAGCCACTTGTCACACAACCGAAGGCCGTGTCTCAGGAGCAAGAGCGTCTAACGTAAGAAGCAAGGGTCAGCAGCCAGTCACACTGAATAGTTTCCAAAATGTGCAGATAGTGAGAACTGCTGATTTCATACTGATTTTTTTTCTTTGCAGACTTGGCAAATTCACACACCAAGTACCTGACTTACTTTACAGAAGAGTCAGGAACCTCTTGGTGTACTTGAAGCCACACCGAGCAAGGACCCAAAGGGCAAACTCGTCTAGTGCTGGGGCCCCGTGACGTGGCTCGGCGTTAACACAAAACGTGGGTGGGAGAGAGAGAGGCCCACTGGGAAACGTGGGGCCGGCCCGTGTTCGGGGAGGTGAGGCTCCGTGAAAGCGTGGACGGGTCTGGCCGTGCCGGCGGTGCTGTCAGGGGACACACTCACTCTGCCTGAAGGAGGGGAATGTACGAGTAACTGTACTTGGGAAACACGCCTGCGCAAAGGTTCTCTGCGCTAACGAGGTATCCATGTGGCCGAGCATGCTTTAAAGGAATGTACCGGGGCGCCTGGGGGGCTCAGTCAGTTGAGCGTCCAACTTCATCTCAGGTCATGATCTCACGGTTTGTGAGTTCGAGCCCCGCATCAGGCTCTGTGCTGACAGCTTGGAGCCTGGAGCCTGCTTCTGATTCTGGGTCTGTCTCTCTCTGCCCCTCCGCCACTCTCTCTCTCTCAAAAATGAA